ATTTTCTTATCGCCATATAGTTTGTTTTCTTGGTTTCTGATCTTTGTAAGGAAAAATAATGTTGTAAGCCCATAAAAATATGCTACCTAAAAATGCTTGTTTCTCACAAGCAAATATACAACACAGGCAAGGCAGTCTGGTCTTGGTTTGGTTAGAATTTACAGGTCTGATAGAGGGAGGGTTAGTAGGGGGACCACACCTATGGAGCATACTGCAAGTACAAGTTGGATCTATCAGGTGTAGGACACAAATGTCTTAACGCTGTAATTGGGTAAATGAGGTGAAGGCTATATTGTTTAGTAGGATGTAAGCACTCCAATTTGTACAAATAATCAACACATTAAATCCCATAAGGGCATAAATGTATTTATGATCTATATACAAATGACTTATTTAAAAAAAAGAATTAACAGTTCCATTTCAGGAATATTTTTGTTTCTCATGTGCCAAGCGTGGAGTGGTCAGGCTGCGGTATAACACGTTGATGCGTTAGCTGCTGCAGGTGTCCAGCAGCCACAAGTTAGCTGCTTTGCACGCATTTCTTTGCTGCTGAGGGCTCCAGCCATGTTTAGTGGAGGTGCCTGAACTTGAGATCGTTCACAGCATTACACAGTGACAGAATCTTTCCTCTGGCCGAGGTGTCCCGGGAGTCTGAGAGTGGTGATGATGATATTTACCTTTTTAAGTTTGATACCGTGGAGGAAAAATGATAACAAAAAAAAAAAAAGGAAGAAAAAAGAAAGGAGTACTGTTAAAGAGAACAGGAGGATGGAACCAAAAAGAAAGAGCTGAAGGAAACACAGGACAGGAAGGTGGCAGATAGGATTGTCCTCAGGTGCATCGACACGGCTTCTGGCCCTTTATTCCCTTATGTTAGGTGACTTACTCATACTTCCTGCCCTGGGGGGAAATGGGAGAAATTCAAATTAAAAATAAAAAACAGTGAACTACTTTTTTATCTAGTGATACAATTCTTGCAGTTAAAATGCTGAACTTGGTACATCTTTGGCCTTATCTCATAGTTTTTCAAATCAAATAGAAAATTATACTGCTGCTAAAGTATCCTGCTTAGATACAATTTCAGAGGTATCAAAAAGCCTGTAGCAAGTGATTTAATGTTTCATGAAATATTCCAAATGGAAATATCCCCTGT